CTTTAAAACACCATCAGTAGCTCGCGATATCTAAAAGATGATTATCTACCCCGTGAAAAGCAGCCGTACTTGACCATAATTTACAGACAACAGCCAGCTGTTGAAGCGAGGGATAGTTCTTAATCCCATAGTTTCAAATCGTTTCCAAATGTTATTATCCGCACCTAATTTTTTTTTCGCGGGATGGCCCTTTTTTTCTAGTTCCGCCACTATATCATTGATTCATTGCAGAGGCGTAGCGGGGGGGGGGGGGGCCGGGCGGGGGGGGGGGGCGTGGGTGCGAATTGCGCCGTGTAACACCATTTAGCGGGCGGTGGTGACACCAAGGCAAAAAATAGCAAAATATATACAGAAAAATGATAACTCCACTTAATTAAATGATTAGTTAGAGTGAGTTACATAGTCGTTTAAGAGCGAAAATTACAAATCCCAACAAGGGTGTAGAATAGGTGGTGACACCATGGCGCAAACTTACTAATGATAGAGAAAACATGCTACATCCAGCAGTATTTATATCCAACTATGGATGAAAATCGTTAGTTTAAAGCAATCACATGGAGGGGGGATGGGAGTTACATGAACTCAACGTTGCAAAACATGCCTGAGGAAAACGGTTTGGTTGAGAATCGTAATAACTTATGTGTTAATCCATGTATGGGGCGGGGTGGGGTAAAAAATTAAAAATCTTCCAGAAAAAAAAATATAATTGAATACATATACACATGCGCATACACATGCTTACAAGTGTGTATGGAATATATATATATATATATATATATATATATATATATATATATATATATATATATATATATATATATATATATATATATATATATATATATATATATATATATATATATATATATATATGTTTTTTTTCTTACGGGGGGAGGGGGTGGCACCATTAGATACCACACCGTGTGACACCCGACCTCGCTACGCCACTGATTCATTTATATTGTTAAATGACATCAAATGGAATATTTGTTGTAATAGACCATACGTGTATGTACATGTGGGTGCTAGTGTTTGTGTGCGTGCGATAGAGTGTGTAAGCCTATGCAAATATGTTAACTTGCAAGGCGACACCATGCAACGTATTTGTATCCCGTTTTATTCCAGTTGTCTAAAAGTAAGCCATAGTTTTTTTTTTAATTTCCAGCTAAACCGTCTGCGCTACCGTTACACCACAGGCAACCTTTTAAATTATTGTCCCTATCTTATTTCCCTAGAAAATCGATGTGCCCTATCAGAGCGTGTAGCAGCACCCAATGGAAACGAGTGGAGTAACTTCAAGGGCCCAACAAGTGTTGTTTATATCACTCAGTTTTACTGCACAAGTTTCTCCAACAAGCTATCAATTGCTACTTATGGCAGAATCGGCCTGCCCCGTCATGAAACTGTAAAGGTATGCTTGAAATTATATCATACAGGATGACACGTAGCGTAAAAATTCGGTCTTAAGAGAACAGTTGGGAGGGAAAGGGGGGGGGGGGGGGTAGTCGGAATGTAGCGGTTGGTCCCAGATTGACAACTGGCGTTTAGATTTTAGTAGGAAGAGGCCCTTTCAAATGAAACTACATCTATTTATAGCAGTCATGTGATTTCCCGATAAAAACGAACAGAATCAAAACTCAATTGTAATTATTTTTTTTTCAAACTATTCATTATTGGCAAATCAAGTCTCTAAATTTGTTAGTTTCTTTTATCGGTGCCAAGTTATATATATATATATATATATATATATATATATATATATATATATATATATATATATATATATATATATATATATATATATATATATATATATATATATATATATATATATATATATATATATAAACTCCATATATATGCTGATCAAACCATACTTCGATGTTCCACCCGGAGTCATCCGATGATAGCTATACCAATATTGGCCTACATTTTAGATTGAGAACAGAAAAATGTGTATAAACATAAGAAGTAAACATTATTTATGATTTGGTCGGCTTACATTTTTAAAAAAAATGTCTTGGCGTTGGGAGCTGGTGATTAGGACCTCTTCAGCCATCTCCCCGTCCACCTCCACCGCCATACTTTATACTCTGCAATGGTAAAATGTGAAAGTGTGTCGCTAATCTACACAATTCCAGTCTCTGTTCCAGAGCTATTAGATCTTCGATAAAAATTAGTCTTGTAGTTGCTACACTGTATGATTGATGTAATTAAAATTATTTTAGAATAACTTCAGTGGAATAAAATTCTGTTTATCAACTGAAAGCATGTTTCCTTTCTTCTTGTGTTTATAGAATGAGTAATCAAAGAAAGGGTAAGCAGAATCAATGTCACTAAGAGATAATGAATGATCAAGAAGAAGAAAACAAGGTAAATACTTGTATAGTATCTGGTAAAAGTAGGCTTGCATAAGAATGTTGCATAATTTTTTTAAAGTATACCTTCGCCTAGATGCTTTGCTTAACTGTAGGCTATATTAAGCGTATGTAGGCATAACTGTAGTGATTATGTTTCTTGTGCACCCAGTAGTTTAGAGTTTTATTGCCGTGGTATCAATAAAAACGAAGTAAAGAAAAACACAATTGGCAAGATTTATGATACTTTTCCTATGTTTATTTTAGATCAAGATATTTCATGACCCCATACATGGGCACATTGAGCTTCACCCAGTTTGTTTAGCAGTGATTGACACCCCACAGTTCCAGAGGCTCAGGTTCATTAAACAACTTGGCATGTGTTACTTTGTCTACCCTGGTGCTGCTCACAACAGATTTGAACATTCTATTGGGTCTGTATGTCATTTGAATGTAGTTCAGTTCTATTGGGTCTGTACCATGTCGATTCAATATGCAGTAGAACTTTTTTGACATGATCATACTAAATAGAATTATATTTGATCAAGACTAAGGAGAAACAAATAAAAGATTACACAGTTAAATTACTAAATAGAATTACATTTGAACAAGACTAAGGAGAAACAAATAAAAGATTACACAGTTAAATTAATGTGGGCCCATCAAATGGTAGAACATGCCCATTTATAAAAGTTCAGCTCCCAGGTTTGAATAAATAAGGCTAATATGAGCTCAGAGTGCCTAAAGGTTAGCTCCGGATGAAATATTATGCAGCTCATATATCCCTATGGTCTATATGTCTACTTTGCCTCCTATTTTTAAAATAAAAATATTACATATGAAAATAAAAAAATAAAATAAGAAATACATATTAAAATCTAAGTAATTTCAACACAACATTTAAAAAAAACCCAGGATTTAAAATTGATTAGTGTGTGATAAGCATGTTTTAGGAATGATTCAAACTAGACCTAATTGTCAGCTTAAACAGTCTTTAATTAATTGTATCCCTTTAGGTTGTTATGCAAAGAAAATCATGCATAATCTCTGAAATTGTGTTTACTTTGCTGTACAATGTTAATGTAACAAATATTTTTAATCCTGACATTAAATTAGTTTAAAAATGTATGTTATGTATTTTAACTGTTGAATTACTTTCTATACTTTTTAGAGGCTGTTATCTAGCTAGTCATTTTGTGCGTACCTTACAAGAAAATCAACCTGACTTGGGTATTACAGAAAAAGACTTACTGTGTGTAGCATTAGCTGGGTTGTGTCATGATTTAGGTAAAAATAATTTTCATTGTGGTAGTTGTTGGGGAAAAAATTTTTTAAATAAAAAGGTGTAGGTAGGGAGTAATCTGTGGTTGCTATTACAAAACTGAATATCTACAGGTGTAAATTAACACAAAAGCAATTAAAAAACAATATATTATGTGTATGTTACATATTTTTTCATAAATAAAATTTCATCTTTATTAAAATATTGAAACATTAATGCAGATTTTTTCTACATTCATACAACATGCGCATTAAAAAATTAACACCCTTTTGGAAACAACTTTTCAGGCCATGGTCCATTTTCCCATTTGTACGATGGCAAGTTTATGCCTTTTGCAAACCCAGAAAAACATTTCAAGGTAAAAAAAATTAAAACTTTAAAAATTTAAATTTCACTTATTAACATACACTTTTCTTTGTTTTAACTAAAACATCCCCTGGTGATATCACAGAAACTGTTTTATTTTTCTAATTGTTTTATTTTTTTATTTCCAGCATGAGAAAGCTTCAATAGATATGCTTGACTACTTAATAGAGCAAAATGGACTAATGGGTCCTAATGGGATTTTACGGAAATATAACTTTGATAATGATGACATAATATTTATAAAAGAAATGATAAATGGACCAATTCATGTAGGTATTTGGGTACACTTTTTCCTTTCTATTTCTATTAACAATGCAATAGAATCTAATGTTTAAATTCATTCAAAATTTTAGACTTAATCCTAATATACTAAAACAAAATTAAATTTTACCTTAACTGAATTATATTTTTTTTAAACTGTATAATTTTTAGGGCTCAGAGTTTAAAGGAAGAAGTAAGGATAAAGCATATTTATATGAGGTAATAGTTTTTAAACTAAAAGTGCATGGTAAAGACTATTTTGGAGATGAACACTTTATTGCATGTATTATACACAGCATTTGAATATATTGCATTTTTTTTTAAAACTATGAATAATGAGAAACTTAAAGAATGAGATATTAAAATATATTGAATTTTTTTTTCAACTTGTTTATATTTCTAAATTAGATTAAATAAGACTATACTTCTGTATGATATGGTATACATATCAGTTTATATGACTAATCTATATTTTTCTCTACATGAAAAATAATATTGTTCTACCACTAAACCAATTTTTTATTTTACAAATATTTGTCATGTATTTTTTGGTCTCATGTCACTAGAAAATTTGTTACCAGCTATATAGCCTTAAAATTTTATATATATATATATATATATATATATATATATATATATATATATATATATATATATATATATATATATATATATATATATATAATATAACCACATATAAACACAATTCTTAAAACAAAAGCTATCTCTTAAACTTTTCATTTACACTCTTAGATAGTTTCTAATAAACGAAACAGCATTGATGTAGACAAGTGGGATTATTTTGCTAGAGACTGTCATCATTTGGGCATCAAGAACAACTTTGATCACATGCGGTTTATGAAGTTTGCTAGAGTTATTCAGGTTGATGGTGAATGGCAGATATGTATTAGAGACAAGGTAGCAAATCCATGATACATTTTATAAAAAGCTTTATTTTGCTTTTTTTTCAAAACTTACTTTGACATATAGCATTTATTTAATACAATTTATTAAATCCCTGTTTCTGTTTTTCTATCTCTTTCTCTCTGTAGCAGCTTCTTATATCTCCATGCAATAAAACTGTATGCACTAATAATGTTTTATCATGATAGTTCTGCAGTAACTAAATATGCACTAATAAAGTTTTAACATGATAGTTCTGCAGTAACTAAATATGCACTAATAAAGTTTTAACATGACAGTTCTGCAGTAACTAAACATTTGTATTCTTGGTCTACCAGGAAGTAGCAAATCTATACTGTATGTTTTACACAAGATACATACTGCACAAACAGGCATATCAAGACAAAGTTAACTGTGGATTAGAAATAATGTAAGATAAACATTCTTACCATTCACACAAAATTAGATCAATTGTTTAAATTTACTCAACAACTCTGTTATTTTAATTTTGTATTTATCATTTTTTATGCCATAATTATTGTTTATTTGTTTGTTTGTACATTGTATCACAATGTACAAGTTCCAGCCCCGTTGAAAGCAAAGAAGTAGGGAGGGATGTCCAAAATAAACAGTGTATTTCCCCTCTGACCTAAAGACCATCCATTAAATGTGAAGATTATCTGCTTCTTTGCCATAGGGTTGTGTACTCCTGCCCATGCTCCACATTTTTTACTTCCCCTTAAATTTAAAACTATTACACGAAATTTAAGTAAGATGTATTCTCATAATGTAGTTAACTTTAATTTTTTTTCTAAGCAATCACTAGACCTACCTACCAAATACTATTGATGTTTATTTATTTCATAAGCTGCTTGCAGACAAATATAACACTTTATGTCCAACTTCTGTTAAACTGTAAGCTAATGTTTTAGTGCTTTACTAAATCATTGTTAATTGTTTTAAAATTTAGGGTGTCAGAAGCATTACTAAAGGCTGATCCTTATATAGAATGTATAAAAAGTGATGGGTAAGTGCTCATTTCTACCTTTTATCATTAAAATTCACTATTTTGATGGTAGTAAGATTTTGACATGTTTTGTTCCATTCAATACCTATTTCCAGGGGCACCTGTAGGATATCAGAATGTATTGATGACATGTTTGCATTTACTGATCTGACGGATGACATTCTCTTCAAAATTCTCTACTCAGAGTGTCAGGCCCCAGACATGCAGGAAGCTAAGGGAATTATCAAGCGCATATTTTGTAGAAATCTTTACACTTGCGTCTATGAAAGTATACCTATTGGGATGGAATGTTTATCTGTATGTTTCTTTTTTTTTTAGCTTTAATAATGTTAATACTTTTATGTTGATGTCAGTACATGGGATTTATATAAACATACTGCACCATTTGTATATTTAATTTAAAATAATGAATTGTTTAAAAATAACCTGCTTTGGAACATTACAACTTCATTACTATTTATTAGTTTAAAAATATTAAAACATTAAATAGATAAATTATTTAAAAAAAGCTTCTACACATGTGTCTAGCAAGTTCAACAGTTTTTTAATCTCATTAATCAGTTTAGTAAGATGTTTTTATTGATTAGACTTTTACCACATGAAATGCTTATGGATAGAAACAAAAAGTACTTAATTTTCTAATGTCTTTTGGTTTTTTCAAATGTATGCAATTTTATGTATCATTTAAAAGTTTTATTTCACAGAAAATGAACCTACCCTTAACTTCAATGCAAGTTGGGAGAGTGTCTGTTGTAAGTTCAAAAGATTTTTTCTTCTTTCAATAAAAGTGTAAAATAAAGTTACAAAGTGCAACGCTTTCTAATTTTAACATAGACTGATTATTTACCTTGTTTTAATAAAAAGTATAATGAATTCCAATTGATTTCACGATACAGCAAACAACATCAGCTATAAGATCAGAGTTAATTAGAATAGCTCATGCTAGAGGGTATCAACTTAAAGAAAATGATCTTGTTGTACAGGTAATGAAACATGTTTATAGATAAAATTATAAGAATCATATTGGGATCTTGCATGTATTTCAAAACAGGAAGTAGTTTATTGTAATATTGAGTTTCATAGGGGTAGATTAGTGTTATAAGACAATGTTATAATACACTTATTTTAATTTTCTATTGTTAAATGTTTTATTTAGTTGGATGGCATAACTGGCTTAAACATGCTTTCTCTCAAAGCAGTATAAGGCTTTGCTATTGTTTTTAGTTGTAAAAAAAATGTTCAGTTTTAACACTACAGATTTTGTAGAGAGAGTGAGGTTGTTCCTATCAATGTTATTAGATTAAATTAGTCAGTTGGTGGGTCTGAAACTATCTCCCATTTACTTTAAATAACTTAACAGGTATACTATTTATGATATGATATAGTCAATAGTTTTTAATTCACAAATTTAATAGCATCACTTGTTTTATTTTCCAATAAAATAGTGTCTAAAGCATTACTAATAAACTCAGCTCTACTATACACATTTTTTTTACTTCCATAAATCCAGGATTGGTGTATTAAGGAATAACATTGAATGTAAATTGATTTACTTGTGTATTTATTAATTTTTACTGCCTCGTTAGATTGCTTACCTAGATTTTGGTATGAAAGAAAAAAATCCAGTGGAAAAACTCTTCGTTTATTCTAAGAAAGAACCAAATAAAGCAAGGCATCTACCTCGTAATGAAGTAAGAAAAACTTTTGTGTTCTGTTGAAAGTGATTTTGCACGTTTATTTTCATTACTACCTTAATGGTTTTTTTTTAAAGTAGTTTATCCAGCAAACCTGTTAACTACAAACAAAACTACTTCAAAAAACACACATATATAGGCAGCTTTGAATGCATATATATTTCAAACATCATCCTTTATGTAATCAATGGTTTTTTTTTCAGGCTAGTATAATTTTGAGTCCCATTCAGTATTCTGAAATCCTGGTGCGTGTCTATAGCTGCTGTAAAGAAATGAAAGAAATGATTACCTCTGTAGCTCAACAATGGTGTGTTCAACTGATGAGTTAATTAGTTGTCTCATTAGCTGATTAGATGTATGATTAGCTGATTAGATGTATGATTAGCTGATTAGATGTATGATTAGCTGATTAGATGTATGATTAACTGATTATATAGCTGCATTTTCATATCATTTAAGTCCTAACTTTAAGTAAAATCATATTTTTTTAATAAAAGATGCATATTTTACTCCTGTGTTTACCGTGAACAGTGCAAGAACAGATGTTTTGAATCCATACATGTAAATAAATTTGTTTATATCAACATTTTGAAAGCTTTATTTAATTTTTATTTTAGATTTGTTGTTATTGAATTTGCAAATACATACCTTGAATAAAATGTTAAGTTAATAAACAATTAAAGATCATGCTTATTAATTTAATATGAGTATGATATTGTAAGGATTGTTATATGTTCATGAACATTTCAACACTACAAAAGAGGCTCGTTCATAAATGACGTCACACTCGTAGGGGAAGGGGGATCCGTAATTTTGTGACGGTGTGTGATGAGGGGGAGGGGGGGGGGGGGTTCATATGGTGCGACGTCACGCGTGTGCATTATAAAAAAAGCAATGTTAGAAAATGAATTTTAGCCGTTATTTCGCGTTTTAGAAAACTGTTTTAATAAATTGTAATAGGAATTGATTAAAATACTCTATGTTGACAGAATTTAGACAAGATTATGGAAAAATATCGATGTTATAAGAAAAATTCAACTGCAATTTTGAGGGGGGGGGGGGTTGTAAGCTGAGGTCTGACGTCATTTGGGGGGGGGGGGGGGGGCTGGCCTTTTGTGACGATGTGTGACGGAGGTGTGGGGGGGGGGGGGGGGTAAAAATCGTCCAAAAAAGTGTGACGTCATTTATGGATGACCCTTTTTTTCCGTGGGGGAGGGAGCACTTGAAATTTTCGGGGGAGGGGGCGGACAATATTAAAAGGTTAAAATTATATTTTCTATATAAAATTCCATTTCACCCAGAGATGCCTGGAAGAAATTTTGATTGAGTTGGGTTAATCAGTTGGGCAGTTTGTGTAGATATATAGCTACAAGACGTGTCTGCGGCAGTAGTGCGTTAGTTTCGGACATTTTTTAGGAGGTGGCACCTAGTTTTTTTCGCCTCAGACATGTAATTTACAGCGTCAGTTTGCCTTACACGTCCGCTTTAGTATTACAGTTTTCATCATCGGCTTGTGAGGACTGATACAGATTTACAATAGTAATACAATGTACAATAGTAATACAATAGTAATGCAAGTGTGTAATTTTTTTCCATCGGCTTGGTGGGCTGAGGGGGGGGGGGGGTGGACTTTTAAGTAGAGCTGAAATAAGTTTGGGATTAAAGAAAATTAAAATTATAAAAATTTTAAGTAACCGGAATGTTAAGTTGATTACAATGAGAAACATCAAATCAAACATTCTTCCCTTTCGAACATCTATATCTATAGCAGTCCTTCTAGAATCGAGTTGAACAAAGAATTGTGACCAAAATGAAAGTAAACATTGTGTGCATAATTGAGCGGAAAGTTAATACTTTATAAACAAACTTTATTTTTTTTTAAAGTCAATTAAACATCTTAAGTCACACTTTATATCACAGTGTATTGTCATCGAGTCTTCACATAATGAAAGCAAATCAGTCTAGTAGCAATGATATTTTTTGAGAAATCAGAAATACCTTAAAGTATCACTTACGGTCTCTGGAAATCATTCATTTTTAAAATATCTTATACATATTTTTAAACTTTCGATCATCTAACTGAAACGTTACTTATGTTATCTGTATTTTA